CCCTAATAGCGCCCCCGGACCCCAATAGCACCCTTGTGTCGCCCTTTTCTGGCTTGCCATCATTTTTATAGTACTTTATGCAGCTTCACTGCGTAGTGGGACCTCAAGCTACTATTGTGAATAACCAAACACCCCCAAGAGAGGTGTCTGGTGGATGGATGGCATGGTGGCCATCCATTTCCGCAAACTTGGCATATCGCGGACGGGCAGATGGCACATCTGGTGTGTCAGCTGTGGGGCCCAGGCCCAAGGCCTCCCTGGGAAGCCAAGGGAGGTGTGCGTTCTATGGCGGATCTCCATTTATACACAACGAAGTGGGCACTACTAATCTAAGCACCTTATGGCTAGCAGAATAGAGTAGTAGGAGGGGCGCCCAATGCCACGGTATCCATTCTTTCTCTCTCATCATTATCATACAAATCTATCTCCATATCCCTGCTGAAATTCTTATCGCTGCTAGAAGTTCCATCTTCAATGAAATCTGGGTCACAGGGGCTTCCATCATCGTAGTCGCCCTCATCATCAAAAAAATCTCTTGATCAGTTGCTTTGGCATCATAGCCAATCTCCGCAACGGGCACTTTAGTGCTCACACTGGCTGACAAGTTGTGTAGTAGCGCCTCAAACAATAGCCTCCCCCTTGAAAATCCTTACCACACGAGTAGGATCCGCACCATGCATGGGGATGTTGCAGCCAAGGAAACTATAAATGCCATTAATCCCGGTACTGATTTGGCAAACTAGGAACATTAGTCATACAAGCATCGCATGCCTACGATGATCACAACAACACTGCCATGCTGCTGCACTGCCACATTGCCACACTGCCATGTTGCCACGCCAGCACGCTGCCATGCTGCCACCCCACCACGCTGCCACTCTACCACACTGCCACACTACCATGCTACCATATTGCCACGCTACTGCGCTGGCACATTGCCACACTAACATGCTACCATATTGCCATGCTACTGCGCTAGCACACTGCCACTTGACATTGTTGTCAGGCGCTGCCAAAGTGCCAATAGGTCATTACATAAGGCCATATTGACTAAAACTATAATTAAATGCATTAAAACAAAGTTAACACAACGCCCGGCCCCTTGAATCGCCCCCAGTGGCCATAAAACAAATAGGCGGATAAACTTATAATCAAACGGCTCGAGTGGGGCGTCACCAACGAATGCCCTGGCCTTCCTCCCCTCTCACTGTTGTCTCTGCACCATGGATCCCTCACCTTGGGGGGTGGTGACTGCTCTTCCGGGCGCCCCTCTGTCTGGTCCCGAGCATCCCCTGCCTGACACTGTGGAGCGCCGTCTTGGTGATGCCGTGCTAGGGGGCGGGACTCCACAGCCTTCACAAGCTACCACCACTGCGTCTGCTTGGTCTTGCCACCCATCGCAACAAACACAAATTGCACACTATTCGCGACGCCACATAATGACCGCCGTTTCACTGGGTGGATCACTTCTGCTTGATGGCTTGCGACTAGTGGGCATGTCAAAGCGTGAATCGCTGCTTGAGATTGAAAGAAATCTGAAAGTACCGAATAGCCATTTCTGTGATTGAATCTTGGTTTGGAATTTGGCTTTTGAGGTAGTTTTCGATCACACTCATGTTTGTTGAGGACAACATGAGCTTGGTGAAAGAATGTCATGCAATTCACATAGAGATGCCTTGGTCATAGTGTCTTGTCCGCAAGATAAAAGGGTGTGTTGTGGGGAAGTTTCGGATGTGTGTTTCCCGAAGCTTTACAGCATTGTGACCGCCCTCTACTTTCACTTTGGCTTGCAAGATTTGTTGTACTTGCACTTTGCAGTGGGGGCGTTTGGAAATGACCATATGCGGCACCTGAGTAGTCAGAATTATGTTGTTTTGAATTCTGAGTGAAAGGGAAGTTGTGGCATGTTTCAGATGTGGGTTGCACCATAGTGATGAGGTGGCATGGGGGTTAAATTGTCTTATGGGCATTTGTGATTATGACAATCCTTAGAGGTCGAAAATGGGACATTGTATCAGATAATGAAAATTGGCATGAACGTGACTGATCATTTTAAGCATACCCCAGCCTGTTGGGGGCGCAGAAACCTGTGCTGTGAACCACATCTTGGACTCCGTGTCGCCTGGCCATGTGAGCGCCGGCGCGCGGGATGGCGACCCCTCCAATCGCCTAGCTATTGCTGCTTCTCTGGCTTACTTTGAAGAGGACAGGCCCATCGTGCTACGCATGATGGTGCGTTTCCTTTAACAACGGGTTTTTGGCCTTTCTAATACTTAGGGTCAGTCAAAGTACGTAGTTTCCAAGGTGCCGTCAGTTTGGCGCCCTGGGACTTTGGCGGGCTTTGACGGGGCTGAGCGTGGGCGGCTATTTAAGCTCCCCCCTCGGTCCCGCTTATATCTTGTTTGGCACCCAGCCCTCCCGCCCTGGAAAATGGAGTTCGGTTAAGTTGAGGGAGAAAGAGGGAAGGTGTGAAAGGAAGTACTGGATGAGGGGGCTGACTCAGGACTGAATCTCGGGAGAAAAGTGGCGTGAAATATGAGCGAAGCGAAAAGGCAAACTGTTAAGTAAAGGGACCTCGGGTATCTGGAGTTCATGGTGACGGACACCTTTTATTGTAAATGTCTTGTTGTGTGGGGAACATGACCAGGTAGGTTCAGGAGACCGGTCAGGTGGAAATGACATGCACTTGGAAAGGCCGATAAGGGATGGGTGCTTGTGATGATGCAGCGACGCGCATCGACACCAGTCCACCCTCCCAGTCCCTTGGCCACGCCTTTCGAATCCCTCCCCGACGGCCTTTTCCCACAAATACGGCGAGCACATCATCCTCTCAGGCACTGCCGACTGCATCATTCCCGACGACCATCGGCCATTTCTCCCACTATGGCACGTGCGTGACAACAAATGCAAAGTTCATGGATGATAGATTTAATTTGTATTTCTCAATAGATTCCAATGAACCAATCACCGACTCTGCTTTGCTCAGGCAAATAGAAAGCTGACGGCTACCTCATTGCCTTGTTCTGTAATAAATCATAATGATGATGATGATGACAACAGATGCCATGCACGTACATTGTGCCTAGAAGCGAAGAGAATCGGTGGTCATAATATGGCGTCACGAACAAGCATCGGTATGAAATCAGTCGATCTGTCTTTCCCTAAGATCCCTTCTTGCTTCGACACCCTAAACCCTAAACCACTGACCCACTGACCCACGTTGACCTTGTCAGCGGAAGAAGGGATCCTCACAGAAAAGAAAGATGGAGTAATATATTTTCAGCAAGCACCCATGTGGTACTGATTCGCACCCACTACCAACTGTTGCACACATGTGCATTGCAGCCACTCGCCATTTATTCTGGAGCGCCTCTCGCCTCGATGTTGGCCCCAGCGAGGTCCCACCAGTGTGTGTGCGCGCCTTTTCCCTGGCTCTCGCCAACCCCACTCGCCCCGCCAAGCGCGAGAGGACCCCGCCCCGCAGCCGGAACACCGTCACGCCCAGGACCAGGCAAGTGTCTGAGACGCGGAACCCGACGGCTGGGATCAGGGATTTGCCACGTGTCAGGGAAGCACTCCTCCGCTCTGGGGCACCTTCCTTACGGCAGTCCAAAGCCGAGCGCCGCCGCCACGGATAGGCTGCGTCCCGGGGTGGTTTCAACAGTGCAATCGTTCGCAAGGACGATGGTTCTAATGGGTTGCCGGCCGATGGAGGCGTGGTCGCGGGAGCTCCGTGCACCGGCGCCATTAGTTGGTTGTCGTGTTATGCAAGTGAGATCGGAGCGAACGGCCACAGATGCGGGATTAGTTTACCGTTGAAAACGCATATTTTGTTGGTGGGTTTTTCCTGCTGGGTGCATGCAGTGCACACAGTGCATAATTGCAATAACCATCTCTGGTCCCCTGGCCTGCTTTATGATGCGCATTTTCCATCGCTGTTGAGAGTTGAGGTGCCAACCTCATCATTACAGAAGAATGGCCGTCTTTGGATTGTAATAAAGACAGTGCAAGGTAATCAAAGATCCCAAGGAACATGGGCCAACTGAAGGGCATTCAGGGACTCTAAAATATGATATTCAGCGTGGGGTTTGGGTTCTGTTTAAGCATGTGTCAGCATTATTCTAATCAATATTGATCTCTCCTTTATGCCTTCACAACATGGTAAATCAGTGCATGTTCATCTCACTGGTCAACATTTTGCCAACACTGCTGTCAATTACAAAGTAATGTGCCCAATCTGGGGTTCAGCTAAGGGCCTAACCTTGCCACCGGCAGGTGGACCACTGGGATCGAACAAGAAGAAGTAAATGGCAGCATGCTGCACTGTAACTTCCATGTGTTTCGCATCTGTCGAATCTGGTACATGGTTTCCCATGTATGTGCAAGAGCACGGCCTAATTGTTGGCTTTGTGTGAGCCAAAGCCTTTGCACCTGGCAGGCAATTGCCAATTGCTATGTTATGGCAAAGTTACATACTCCCATGTTCTCATCGTGTGGCCAAGGTACTACAGATGTGGACACAGCATAGTGCCAATGGTCAGTTTCCTGAAATGGTGGTTGAGCTCCTTGGAATGGTGAACAGACCACAAATGACCCAGTATATCTGTTTTAAGGTTTGCATCGGTCCCACAAGGTCTCTTCAAGTCAGGGATTGGCATGAGAACGGGTGTTGACAAGTTTGGGTTACAATACAGCACAACGACAGATTTGACAGCTTTTGTGTTTTAGCAAAAGCTGTGGGGACAGCAAATCGGGGTGTCACTGATCTTGATCCTTCGTTGCTGGGCTGTGTGTCTTGACACCAGTGCATGATTGGCAGGGCGTGGCATTGTGGCAATGGCATCAAAAGCCGATCTTCACAGCACGCCTGGCTGCACAGCAACTCCAGACCCTGCAACGAAGGGCTTCGTCATGCAGCAGGCAAGTTGCAGCACTCATCCAATGCTCTGCGCATTACCACGTTATCATTCCCTGACAAGGTGGTGCCCATTGAGCTGACAATGGCGATGTTATCATTGCAGACAATGTATAGAATTAAAGATCCCAAGACTTCTCTGGACTTTTACACAAGGGTGCTTGGCATGACGTGAGTTGGACATCTTTGCGGGAAACTGCCAATGGGTGCATCTCCTGTCGGATGCCCTGCTCTTCAGGAACAATGCACATACTTCACTTTTCATTGTTTCTATTTTCCTTTGCCATTACTTTGAGCTCAGGATGATAATGCTGGTCTCAGCCGAGGGGATGCGGTTCATCGCTGTGGATATTTTGGAGATTTGTTGTTGTGTGAGAGGTTATGTGTGTGGTGGCTGCTGCTGAACCACCATTCAAGCAGACAAACAATGACAGCAATAGCAACAACAACACATTGCCTCTCGTGTCTCTGATTTTGCATGTTGACATGGCGGGCATACAGGCATACTGCCATGCATCCTTGTGCACATTGCAACTGCACTGATTACGCAATATTTCAAGAGTTGTGCCTTCATGTGTTTAAGACGATGATTTCTCTGAAGTATGTGGCCTTGCCAGGATACTTGAATACCAAGCGACAACAGCAGTGTCACCATTCTCGGAGTATGCACATAAGAGGCCAAACATTGTTGCAAATAGCAGCATGTGGGGTGGTTTGATTGACCATTTGCTGAATCTGATTGTCTAGGCTGCTTGCCAAGTTGGATTTTCCTTCCATGAAGTTCTCGCTTTACTTTGTGGGGTACGAGCCTGCTGAAGCGATTCCAGACAATGAGAAAGAGAGGGTATGCATTCTGTGAGCCTTGGCCAAGCTGTTGGAAACAAGATTCAGAGACTGCAGACGCATCCACTGTTTGCACTACTCCTGAAGCTCTTTCCATTGAATTTGTTAGAATTCTGCAAAAGTTGTCCAACCGATAAAACAATACGTGTCACCAGTCTATAGAAACCCATAATAACCGCATCCTAAGGAAATAGAGGAAACCTTCTATTCCAGAAGTGGATGTTTAGACAGAAGGGTACCATCGAATTGACACACAACTGGGGTACAGAGAGCGACCCTGAGTTTGCTGGCTACCACAATGGCAACTCGGACCCTAGGGGCTTTGGCCACATTGGGCTCTCTGTGCCCGACGTCGAGGCAGCGTGCAAGCGTTTTGAAGAGTGAGTTTGCATGCTGTTACGCTATTGAGGGTATCTGTTGCCGCACAGTTGTAAAAGTGTATTGCTTGTAGTTGCTGAGAAAGGGCAGAGCATTGCCCTTGCACGTCTGCAACGCCCCAAGTAAGATCTGGATAAACTACACCTCTTAGGCGAATTGGGAAACTGCATTTGCTGGTCTTGTCTCAAGACGTGCAAAAACTCCAATTGTCCTAGAATTCAAGACTATCGTGGCAAAGCGTTTGCTGCAAGTGCTCAGTATGTTGTTATTGGTGGTGTTGTTGCCTCTGAGAGAAATGAGCACTCATCTTTGCTTGTTTTGTCTGGTGACCGAAAGCATGCGTATGGTACAAGAACAGCAGGGTTTGCGGTCACGGGCTAGACTGTATTCTTCTAGATAGGTCTGAATGGTTTTTCACGTCCAGATGTGCTCCGATTCTGGCCTGGAAGGAGCAGGTCGAAGTTGGCTACATCGCCCGCATAATGTTGTTCCATCTGGATTCATTTTTGTTGACTTGGGCTTCACCAGTCAATTCATGCAGCAGTTGGTTTCTGTGCAACATTGAGGATCTCCCACATATATCAGGGCGTTGTGTGCGGACATTGTGCAGGGAGCGCACCGTATTAGTCGTATGAGGAACTGGATCGATCTTCATTGTCCGAACTCTTTGTACAGAATATTGATATGAGGCTCTTTATAATATGGTGCTATTTTCTGTGCCGATTGCTGGATCAGCCACACTACCAGTGTAGTTGGACTGGCAGCTGTTTTCATACCAGCAACGCGGTAACTGATGTGTCCGCCCGAGGCTGTCACTTCACGTATATAATGTAATGAACAGTCGCACGAAATTCTTTTGCCTGCGAGAGAAGGGGGGATTTTTGCGCCATGTTCTTTCTCCGCAACTTCACGCCTCCATGCCGCTATCTTTGCTCGTTGCCAGCGCAACATCATTGCCTCACGCACCCTGCGTTTTCTGATGCATACTTTGGGCGTCTTGTGCTTATGGGCAACCACTTGTGTTCTAGGTTAGGTGTGGCGTTCGTCAAGAAGCCCAATGATGGGTCGATGAAGGGATTAGCCTTCATCAAGGATCCCGACGGCTATTGGATTGAGATTCTAAATGCCGAGCACAGTGCGACTTTTGTGCAGGGGGCATGAACCTGTGCCGTTCCTGTGCACATGTGGGATGTGAACACGACACTTCAACGCTGTCGAATTGCAGTGGTCGATCAGCTGTTCAGAGGGGCATCGATTATCTGGCAGCGTGCCTGCATTTGGGGGGACTGCCCGCACCAGCTGTGGAGCTCTTTCCAGCTGTGGTCCTAGAAAGGCACTGGGCTGAGCTGTCGAGGCAGGCATCAATGCACAAGTACTTATAGCAGCCGCGCTCTTGCCTGGGGAGCTGTTTTGACATCTTCCTTTCAACAGCTCGACATTTGCATTTGTGAACAGAACTATGACACGCACTTGGACAAGGTGGTTTTCTGTGGTTGCATTCCTCGCACTGTATTGAATTTGAAGGGGCTGCTGCAGCTGGCGCTGTAGGCCTGCGACAGCCAAGTTAGGCGTCCAGTAAGGTAATTTGATCAGCCTCCAAGGATTGCCATACGGGATCCAGATGCAGCGATGCGGGCGTGTTTTCGCGCCAGGTGCTCGTGGTGAGCTTTAGAACCGCACCATGTTTGGGGCACCAACTAACATAGAAATATTATATTATTGAGATAGCCCCTTTAGCAGCGCTCAGTTGGCGCCCCGTGAGGCCCAGAACAAGTGGCAAGTAGCCAGAACCGGTCCAGGATGACTCAGAGCACCAATGACACCACATTCCCGATACCAGGACGGTGTAACAAGGGACCCAGGACGCGCTGGGAAGCCAAAGGACCTGCCAATATGGCCACCGTAGGCTTAAAGCAGACAGGAAGCACTTTCCAATGCAGCTGACAGTGTATAGAAACCCACACAACACCATGGAAGCACCAGCGGGACACCGCCCACCGCAAAGTACTGGCGCTCTACCTGTCAACCCTCGATGGAAGAGGCTGCATAATATGAGTGGCATTTTGCATGGAGAGTGGGCAGCTGCAGCTCAACATGATCGAGGGCTCCATAAGGTGGTTATGAACATCATTAGAGTGGTGTGAGCAACTTTGGGAGTGAGCGAAGCTCGTAAACTCGTCGCCATTTCAATTGCCTTGGACTTCGAGCAGGTTTTGTATGAGAGAATTGTGCAAGCATATATAGGGGATGTCAGAAATGTTGAGAAAGCAAGGTTTACAGGGGAGACAAATGCATTAGTGTTGCTCAGAGCACATCGAATCGTCTAGGCAAGGTTGAAGGATGTTGAGGAAGAGGTGAGCAAGGAGAATTATCAATAGGAAAGGAAGGAGACAATCAGAGGTGGGCCATGGGAGGTGTTGCTAGGACCGGGGCCAGGACTGGGACTGATCTTTACCCGGTCCTGGTCCGGGTCCGGTCCACCTGGTCCAATCCGATCTTTGTCCGGTCCTGGTTTTCTTTTTTGGACCGGCTTTGGACCGGGCTGGCACAGGGCATGGGCCTACGTTGGGCCGGGTGTGCACCGGGGTTGGGGCTGGGCGTGCACTGGGGTCGGAGCCGGGTGTGGACCAGGTCAAGGGCCGGATGGGGCCAGATTCTAGTCCTACCCGGTCTGGTCCGGTCCAACCTGGTCCTCGTCTGGTCCTCGCCCGGTTCAATTTGGTCCAGTCCAGTCTAGTCCAGTACAATCATGGACTGGACTTCAAGTGCCTTGCTACACATGTGGCAGATGGCCTAGACCTACAGGTGGTTGAACATAGTTGTCCTACATGTGCAATCAGCCACCCACAACACCAAGCTCACTACCATATACATAGCAAATACAGCTCGTGCCATATTGGAACTTCCAAGTCACTAGAGCCCAAGAGGCCCACACTGCATACAAGGAGCAACAAACGATTTATATTTATTATTTTACAACTTGTATGCGCACATCGTAATGAATATCCATCCCAATGAAATGTTCCTACAAAACAATCCCTTTAAAAAAATGTACAACAAAAACCAAAAAATTTATAGCTTGAGGCTGTCTGAAAGGAAGGTGCCCTCCTCGATTCTCTCATTGGAGAGGCTGGCCCTGCATGGCCAGATTGTATAACCCCGTCCTAGAGAAACCCTTCTCTGACGCCCCACTACCTGCCGGAATGCACAATGAATGGTGTGCAACTGTGGCCACCATTGGCTAGCGCCCGGCGTTTAGAGCCCAATATGCTAGGGGGTGTTTTTCACATATAGCGCCTGAGTCACATAGAGCCCATCACTCTTGGATGTACTTGGAGACATGTTGTTTGATAATCTGCATTATGGCCACAAACAATTGGTCGATTGCCACCACCTCACCAGGTGTAGCAGGGGCCAGAGGTTCCTCATCCTCATTGGACCTTTCTGGACTCATGGTCAATGTACAATGTGCCGCTACAGCCCGTTCTGCTTCCCGTCTTCAGCGGCGGCAGTGACATGGTGTGGATGGGGCTGCTATTACTTGCTCTGCGGGTGGCGCCCAACCTACGTCCCTTGCAAATGCTAGACACATATCCTCCAACTCTGCTTGCAGCTCCCCTTGTATATAGTCCAGCGATACAAGCTCCTCCTTGACAATTGGGAAGTACTCAGCTTGTGCCCTACACACACACACACACACACACACACACACACACACACACACACACACACACACACACACACACACACACACACACACACACACACACACACACTCGTGGTTCCAGCGTTCAGTCCGAGGCCATACTATCCCCCGGACACTGCCTGGCCGACGTCGACTCATCCGAGATGGTGTGGAGCGAGCTCTTACGACAGAGTGGGAGCGTCGCTGGAGAGCATCTGAGACAGGTCGACAGTTATTCGACGTCTTCCAGCATGTTGGAGGAGGAGGGTGGTACCCGGACGACGCAGATGTAGCGCGGCGGCAGGACCTCACTCTAGTAGCTCGGTTCATGACTGGACATTATCATCTAGGCCTTTGGGCACCGACACGGGACCCCGATGAGTTAGAGCTGTGCCCCCTATGTGGGGAGGTTTACTCTCGGGAGCATTTGATTCTTGAGTGTATGTCTTTGGATTCGGTCAGACGGGATGCTATGGGTCCGGTTCTGGGTCGTAGGAGCAGGGGATTGGCTTGGCTGACCAGGTCTGCTTGTGCCCCTTTGGGGCGCTTTCTCCGGGTTGCACGAGATGAGGTTTCCCGATATCTCGAGGAGTCTGTTGAGTCGAGATAGACTTGAGGGATGGAGTGAGGGATAGGGGCTTTGCCCCATGACACATTTTCCTTGAGTTACCCAGGTTCTTTGTCCGCTGGCTGTTGGTTCACCTGACTTTCATTCCCTGTGGGGGCTCTTTTCTTTTGGGTATGGGGGTTTCCAATTGAGACAAACATTTTCTGATTTGCCCGTCATGTTTCCTGAACACTATAGAGAGGCGCCGTGACCTTAGTTGTTGGAGCGTCAAATTTAAGGAAGCTTGATTGATTGATTGACACACACACACACACACACACACACACACACACACACACACACACACACACACACATCTTTTCCCGCTCGCCGCCGCCGCCCCCCCCTCGGGGGGGGGGTGGCGGCGGCCAACTCTCCGAGTAACCCGCGGCGCCCGCCCCCGGCGGGTGTCCGCTCTGAGTGTAGGGCCCGACCGGCGCCTGGGGTACCAGGAGAGTACCGGTTCGGCAGAGTATGCGACGGCTGCACGCGCGCCGCTCGCGCTGGCCGCGGGGAGGCCCGAATCGCGCCGGAGGCGGCCGGGATCGGCGCCGATTCTTCCAAACGAGAGGCGCGCGCGTTGCTAAGGAGGTCGAGGCCGCCGCGCCCGGCCTTTGTGCCGTGTGTGCCAAAGAAGATCGAGGAGATTCCCAACGGAAATCGAGACGAAGGGGCACCGATTCGAGATTTGCCGATGGCCAATTTTGGGGGACCCGCGACGGTGCAAGTGGACAACGTGCGGCCTTTCCTTTTCCTTTGAAAACGAGTTGGCAGAGTGGGGAGAGAGTTTCCTTGAAGGCTGCCTCGGGGATCGTCACTTCACCACCGATCCTACGGCGCGATTGGCGGCGATGGCTCAAGTGAAGGCGGGGCTTGGCGCCCACGATCC